TGATGACTAGCTGCCTTCCCTCTAGTCTTACACTGCTAAATTATGGACGGCTAGCGCAGATAGCCCTCGTGTAGCTTTGCGCGAAATTCAAAACAAAATAAAACTTTTTTTCACTAAGTTAGTTCTTCAAATAAAAATTTTCGGAGCTTTCAAACATGCAATAGAATAAAATATCCTAATGCAACTATAATTCAATTGGCATTGTAATTAAGCGATAAATAGATATAAAAATCACTTTCAGCTCGGAGCATTTTTTTGTGATTGTTTGAAGTTAAACACAAAGCTACACAATGGGTTACCTGTGCTCTGCTCATCACGGGTATAGAAACCCGGTTTCTAGCGTTGTAAGTCCGCAGACACACCGCTGTTCCACTGGGGGCAGCTTGGAGCAGCAAAACAAGATCGCTAAAAACGAAACTGGAGAAAAATATCTAATTACCAGCACAAAGCGAATTAGTCTTCTATTGAATTTTGTAAAAAATAATCTGCCCTTTCTAGTGTTTATAAATAATATAATAGCAGGTATTAGAGAGGATTATTGACACACATCTTGAAAGATAAGATGAGATATGGTTGGCTTAGAATGTAGATTTGACATTTTGGATCTCAGTAAAGCACAAAGGCACAAAGTTTGAAGACTAGAAATATATATATTCTGGCTTACTAATACCTCTTATGGCTCACCATGAACAACCAGTGAAGTACTCTCAGCTATTTCCTCCTGATCGAGACAAACACAGAAATATGCATTCCTTGTTCCTGAATTTATTCATTCCAGCAAGTGACCTGCCTTGACAGCACCCTTAAATGTTATGGGATAATTCTGCTTAGCATTATTCATAAGGTATCATAAGCATGCATTTCTCCTGTGAACTCTCAATGAAACGTCCTAAACAGTGATGGTAAAATGTAGTGGACGTACTCAGAGATCCTAACATTCTGAGAAGTGGTATGCCTCTACTTTATGGTGGCAGAATGAGAATGTGTGCTTGGCAACTCACCCATCAGCTCTGAATAACTCGAGGCTTCATTGTGTTCCATGATTGTTTCAGCAGTATAACTCCTGGCTCAAAGAGGCTCACCACTTCCCCATGATTCACTTACTTAACTATTCCATGCCCATCATATCACCTGTCTGTTGGTTGATTTTATCCACCAATGACATCTCCAGTCTCTCTTTCTTTCACCTAAACATAGGTGTCTCTGATCAGAGTTGAGAATGGTTAACTCTGGATGGCAAAAGTTTGGGAGTGCTATTCACAGTACCCCATTCAATCTCAACTTCGCCAGGGACAACATCACTGCATTGACCCTCAGTTCTCTGTGTTTCTTTCATGCTAAGGTCAATTACTGGGGAAGGGAAGAAATTTATCAGCCATTCTGGGTGCACCAGATTCTATCAGTTCTCCTTTCTAAGTCTGCATCAGGAACAAGAAAGTAGTAAGGGACCTGTGCAGCTTCTACAAAAGTCTGATGTCCAGATTAGGACTTTTAAACCCCACAACTCTCTTGCACACAGTCCTTTCCTTTCAATGATCGATTCTCCTCTTTGATCTGTTAACTCTTTTTAACAACGGTTTCCCTTTCAATGACTGAATTTCCCTCTTGACCATAAGTCCTTTGAGTAGTGGTAAGTACCATTTCCTCAACTGTGAAGCTGTTTAAAGCTTGATAACACAATAGAGTAAAAGACAATACAAAAGTCAGCAGAAAATAGCAAGCTCCACAAAAAGAAATACTGGTGTCACAGCACCAAAATTTTCTCCTACCCATCCACTCTGTGATATATTCAGGTAAAATTGAGTTAAATTAAGAGCAATGGGATAGGGCCTCTTAATAACAAGAGGTTCAACAAAATATTTATTATAAAGTAATTCTGAATTCTCTGACTTGTACTAAGTTTGAAAAAGAAGGAGACTGGACACAAATGAACAAAAACACAATGAATCAATCTTTATTAATTCACAAACAAAATGTACGTACTTGTTGTTGTTAAACACGGGATGGTAACTTCTACTGGATGATGTATCTTCAACTGATGAGGCTGAATTTATGTAACAGACTCTTTAAATTAAACGTTCCTCACTTTGCTGACAGTGTTGCTAAGTCCGTGTATTTCTGGCAGATTTAGTCCTCTTTTTTTACAGTCACTTTCAAATTTGGAAGGTTGCAGGTTACATCTTTTTAGGGGTTGTTTTAATAGAAATGCACTTAATTTGGCTAGAACTACTAGTATTTTGAAAAACAGCTGTATAGTATGCAATTTATGAAAAATTGATGTCTTCCTGAATTATCTCATTAAACTTAATGATGCTGCTATCCAAGGCTGATTGTTTACACATAGTAGCATGTTTTTTAAACCCATAGCCAGCTTCGTTGTAATAAAAAGTTAAGGTTATTTGTTTATCTGGCTGGTTATTGCAAAACTATTAAGGATATTTACTATTGTTCCTAATTTTGAACTGTCAATCAGAGGTAAAGAAACCAACCAGCAGCACCACTGCCAATTCTGTAGATACAATTTGACAGAAAAATAGCGGGATTGACCACCATATTGAAATGAGCTCATGGCTGAAAGGATGAGCATGTTTATCACCAGGTGTAAAATCATACTTATAAATAATTGATAGAGTTAGAATGATACTATATTGATATAAGAAGGTAGAAACTCGTGCTGGGTTTGTATACCACAATCAACCGTAGCCTTGTCCACACCAATAACATATAAGTTAACGCACAACACATACGTGTTTGTGAGTAGGAACTCGTTTTTGAGGCTTTGTGATAAACCTAAAGTTTGTATACAGACTGATTGAAGGCTATGTTTCATAAATACTACACTATAGAAACCTGTAATAGTAAAATTTCATAACATGAAAATTTTGGCACGTCATAACTCACTATCGATGGTTTGTATACTTTATAAACTTGATCTTGACCAGCTCCAAGGAGTGTAAGGATAAAAGAAACTTTGTACGTTATGAAACACAAATTCGAATTAAATGTTAATTTTCGTGCTACACAACTATTATAAAATATTTCATATACACACACAAATCTCACTCTTGATAATTAATCAACCTTGACATATCTCTGAACAGTATATGTAAACAAATCGGTAATTTGAAGGTTAAGTATTTATTATTTTCTTTCCCATGGAAGAACAAGAATTTATAAGGACATTTTGAAGGTTAATTGAAAAATTTAGTAACGTCGCCTGTTAAACGTTTCAAGGAAGAAACGTATATTCCCACTACCTTTTTATTCTTGGCGTCATAAATTAATTTATTGATTTTATTTAGATATTCTAATTACTGTCTGACTTTTGATCACCTGCTGAAACTTATACGTAGCCTTGGTCTATTTACATCCACCAGGAGCAACTACGGAGAAAAACTGCTGTCACGTATACCAGTACAGGTATAACAACGTGTCGAATAAGTACAAGGGGGGTGGGGAAAGGTATCTTGCCTGTGCTACAGTTAAATACAGCATAAGTTTCCGGTGCGTTGGCAGGACAAGTTTTCCACGCAGCAGGTAGGCTTAGAGTCAACTAGTCTATCGTTCCTCATTGGCGGATACAGTCAAGCCAAGTAGGCTTGAAGGCCAGCATACTTGCACTCTCACGGAAAGAAAGCTGCCATCTTAGCACAGCACGTAGGAATCTAAAGCTCTTTTGGCGTTTTCATTCCAGCAGGAAAAATACGAATAAGTCACTCGATGTGGAATTGAAACGAGGGTAACTCAAGCTGGACATATTAAAACCGGCTAAGTTTCATATTTTGTTCTCTGAAAACGATGGAACATAAATACGAATACTCGTCGGAAGCTGGAGTTCACCACGCCAACTATATGAGAAATTCGAAAGCCATTGGTGTGCTGTGGGGTGTATTTACAATATGTTTTGCAATAATCAATATTGTTGTCTTCATCCAGCCGCATTGGATAGGAGACACTCAGGATAGCAAAGGTACTGGCCACTTCGGTTTGTGGCAGGCATGTCACCTAGTTCAAGATGGTCAGGACGTTGCTTGTGAAGGCAGGTTGGATGATTTTAATACCATAGCTTCTCCAGCGTTTCGTGCTGCCACCGTCTTTGTAGGCCTATCCGTAATCGTAATTCTTCTGTGTATCTGCTGTATGCTACTGTTCTTTGTCTTTCATTCTTCAACTGTCTTCCATATTTGTGGCTGGATGCAGGTTTTTTGCAGTAAGTACTATCAGCTAGTTAATTTTTTTGTATTTGCCCAAGAAAGTTAGCAATCATATTTTTAGTTATCACTAAAGCTTCACGTAGAAGAGCATTAGCAGTAACAATAGTAATTTACTTCACTATAACATTCCTAGGTTATCAAACTGTTCAAGCTATTTTTGTAATATTTATTTTTTAGTGTAACATTCATTCTAAAAAGTAAGAATTAAAGAATTCCGAGTAATAATAAATATGCAAAATAATAATTTAAAGCAATACTTCAAAAACTATTTCCAAAATCCTTAACATACGAATTTATAGCTATTATGTAGTGCAAAAATGCAAGAACGGGTTTTGTAAAGTGTTTGTTAAAATATACTAACCCAATTAATTCAACTTCCAGAGTGCATGTAAAAATGCAGTCTAGTTGTTTGTAATTTTCTTTGACTTACTCCGAAACATTTTTTTTTGAACCTGGGTTTAAAAGTAAAAACGTTTTCGTACGTTTTATGTAATAAACAATTTATTTACGTGTGCGAATGACCCTCCATATTCCCATGGTGAAAACAAGTATTTTTTTAAGTTCTTATCTGATTTTTTTTTTTCAGGTGAACTATTTAAATTTTAATCAAAGAAGACACGTAAAAACTAAATGTGAATACGGCTGACCTACGGGCTATGAGAGTCAATAGAATATTTATTGCATTGCTGCTAATAGTAATGTGTCTTCACGTAGTCTTTTTGTAACTTGCTTGTTTTTAGATTAACGTGTAGTTGCACAGCACATAATTATATTGGATTTGGAGATGTCTTGATTACAACGATTCATGTAAGAGTTTATTTCCATTATTGGTCAATAAAATCTACTCGTATAAGAGTAGACATTCGTGCGAAGTCGACGCAAACAAATTTAACACATTTCTTTACTAACCAGAGGCTAGGAAGATACCTCAAATAAATATAAATATATATATATATATATATATATATATAGTTTTAAAGTAAAAAAAAAAAAAATTACAATTTCGTAATAGATAATCTGCCTGAGAAGATCATTGCAATATTTAATTATTTACTAAGAATGAAGTATTTTAATTCAGTTGACACTAACATCATTCGCTCTTGATTATTAAAACTGATCCAATAGCAGACAGTTATTAAACAGAATCTTAGTTAATAGTTGTTAAACAGTCTGTTACCAACACGTGGCAACAACGTAGAGGAAACATATACAGGTTGCAACTTCTTTCAGCAAAAGTGGCCCAAATGTAGGCAGGGTGTTTCCAGTTTAACGAAATTTGGGTTGTCTGGGTTGGATGAAAGTAACACCCCTACTTTCAACATAAAGTAATGACGTCACAACTGTACCAGAATTACCGAGCATGTATGAATTATTTTAGAAAATCAGTGTATTATTAAACACATCTTTATTTCTCTCCCCCCCCCCCCCCATAGTGCTCAGTAGTAAGTCTGAAGTCAGGAAGTTGTATTTCAACATATTAAAAAAAAAAACATTTCAAAACTTTCGGAAGGTTAGTTTTATGTGAGTTCTAGCTGAAAGTATTATCATAACTGAAATATCGAGAATTTGTGTAAGCACATTATGTAATTATTGTTTTTTTTTATTTGTGGCGATCAGATAAAGACAAAACTTCATAATCTTTTTTTTTGTCAGTTTGTGTTTTTGTTTATATATTTTATTTAGTGTTTTTTTTTTTTTCATTGTATAAGCATACATAGTTTTTTGTCGTAGTGATTTGATAAGAATTTATACCTTTTCTGTCACTAAATGTGTTGGTTTTTTGCGTTGACAATTATTGTGGAGTAAGTTTTCTGGAAAACATTTGTTGTTACTGGCCAAGTATGGTTTTATGTACGGGATCTTTGTGTGATACTAGTTAATAATAAGTAAGCTTTCTTCACCGATTCGATATTCTTAAGGTAATGTTTTATTAGATTAAATATTATCGTAACCATGGCCAGGTGGATAGGGGGCGCTCGACTAGCAATCTGCAGGTCGCGGGTTCAAAACGCAACTACTACTACCCTAACCAAGATTAGGGCCAGTCAGAAGGAGGGGAGGGCCATTTGGTCCAGGCTTTAAACTTACACTTGATTTTTGGCATTTGTTAAGTTTCACAACTTATTTTTATGTGCCTCCCAATTAGACCAAAATATGACGCGCGCGCACACACACACTTTCAACTTAGAGCTGCAAATTATCTATACAAGTTAAATATTCAAATTATGTTTCACTTTTCTTTTGGAGTAATGATTCTTATTTTTTTTTTTATGGACAAGGACCTCTTTGAACCTCTGAGAGGGCTCAACCAAGATCACTCAAACTGAATTAATTTCATGAGTTTTAAGAGCTAACGTAACTAGTGATTTTGGTTATATTGGTGAAAACGTAAATTTCTATCGAGATTTTTAATAAAGGAAAGATGGCGACATTTGTATGACACTCGTTACTGGTAATATGCAATAAAAAATTTGTTTCCCTTGCTGTAATGGAAGAAATTTACTTTGTTCGACGGGATGAACATGTTTTTAATGTATTTCGTGCACTATACGAGTATATTTTTCATGACTACACTTGCATGTTTCTGAAAGGCGTGTGGTGAAACTGGAATAAGGGCTTGACTTGTTTGTTAAACGTCTGACAATAAAATTATTTTGTGAAAATGCTGTTTTCAGTCTTCTCAACAAAACTATGTTATCGTGTTTTTTTGTTGTTGTTTTATCTTCAACTAGTTTTCTGTCTGTGCATGTTTTACTGCGTAATATTATGTTTCTCAGAATCATGTATTTCATGCTTACGCCATATCATCCTCCACGATTTTCCGAGTAGTAAAACCCCGCCTTCTCTTATTTGCTTGCACGTGAATCTCTGTTTTGCTTTTAAAAGTGTGTTATAAATTTTAATTGTACGGATAGCGCTCGACTACACTGTAGTTCAGTTCTGTTTAAATTAAGAACAGTCAAATACTTGACACATAAGCATTTAACCGAACTCATAATTTGTTCACGTTAGGGTTTTTAAATATCATCCAGTACTTACAGTAAGGTTGTGGACATCGGATATCAGTCGTTGCCATGGTAAGTGACATACAAGATCATCCAAGTGTAATGATTAATTAGACAATCTTTTAATATTTTTTTATCACAATATATTAATTATTAACTCGTTTTTTTATCCTACTTTACTGCTTCCGTCTTCGGAGAAGTCTTAAGAAGGACGTTTCTGTGTTGATAATGTACTACTTTATCACTAGTATTACAATATTGTTTAGTTTTTTAAAACAACTTTGGCTTTTACATGGAAATTTAATATCTCTTCACAACAAAACTTTAGTTCATTTCTAAAAATTGATGCTTACAAATCGGGTCTCGTCGTTATGTTGATGTTTCGCAAACATTATCGATTATGATCGTGTCAAAAAGGTAATGCAATTGGTGACTTAAGTCGATACATACAAATACAGAGGTCAGTGAAGGTAGAGAAACCAAGTGTGTTTTTATTACTTGATGGGTTGTGTAAATCGTGTATCTGTAATATGAGATTCCAGGTGTATTTATGGACATTGAAATGTAAATCAGTGTAAATTTGAAAGCGAACGTAAATTGTTAACGTGTGTCTTGTGTGTGTGTGTGTGTGTGTGTGTGTGTG